AGAGAGAGAGAGAGATTAAATAGGCCAGTTAATGAAATTTGAGGAAAAAAAGAAGACAACAAAATGATAAAAATATTGTCAATAAGACTAATAATATTTATTTTATATTAGTAGGCCTTTTGACTAAACATAAACATAGAAGAGAAAGATTTTAAAGTTGGATTTTTCAGACATCACTGCATCCTTTATGAACAAGACATGAAGTAGGATTCTCTTTTCCAGGGAATTTGTTGTTGTGCTTTTTTTTTTTTCCCCTTGTATTACCCCAAGAAATTTGATAGTTTTGGCCTAGTAGTTTGCCACAATTAGAGTTGTGAAAGGTTTGTAGAAGTCTTTCTGTGGAAACTGTATTCTTTTCTCTGAGTAAGCATATATGTATATGTGCATGTGTGTGTGTGTATATATATATATATATATATAAGAAATTTAATGACAAAGTGAAAAAGGTTTTTCTGTGACACATTCCAGACTTTTAAAACTTTATTGGACTAAAATGATATTGACATTGATGTGTACATACATGTGTAAAGAGACCGATTTTTTTTTATAATATATATATATATATATGCATAAATTTATTTTTTTTAAATATTAATTTTAATGGATACCCATATTTGATTAGATACTTTGTTTTTATTTATTAAGTGTATTTGTTTATTTCCATTTGCCAACCTGAATATTCCAGAAATCTTATTAGAAAAATGAAATAAATAAATGAAATACTACCACAGAATGTATATTTTTCTAATAAAATTACTCAATTATTCAGGTTCAGGCCAGTAATTGGAAATAAATCAATATACTATTTAATAAATAAAACAGAGCATCTACTCAAATATGGGTATCCATTAAAATTAATGTTTAAGCAATAAATTAAAATATGATGATATTGAGCACTTATATCCCTAAATTTAGGATACATTAAAACAATATTGTATAATATATATATATATATATATAGAGAGAGAGAGAGAGAGATAGAAAAATAGAGAGAGAACTTTGAGGAACGAAATGACCCACCTCCTGCAAAGCAAATTTGCTTGGCGTGTCAGGTCTTGTTGAAAGATTGCGACCGCCATTAAAAGTCAAATGGATTATTCCGAAATTCCTATCTCACGTGCAGATGTACAATGAAAAAAAAATCTATGAATTCAAACCATCTTGAATTTATGAAATAGGAAGTCTCATGCGAACAAGAATTAAGTCTTGTATGCAAATATTAGTTCCCCACAACGCAGGCATAAATAGCAAGTCTGTGAGGGGGATCAGAAGAAACTTTCATTGACATGACAGCGTATGGATGAACAAGAATGAGAGAATAAGGAAGAGGTCACTCACGATAGCTCAGTTGGAAGAGAGGAGGACTGTAGAAGAAAGGAAGCACCTTAATCTATTTCAGTTATCGCAAATGAACTAAATTAATCACAAGAACTTTATTTAAGCTCCGCCAACTTTTGCATAGAGCCCTCAGTTTATTTTATATTTTAAGGTTTTAGCTTATTTTAATGTTTAGCTATTTAGCTATTCTATTGTGTATTTATATAATATGAAGAAACCTCAAATTACATGCCAATAACTGTGTTTATATATAATAAAGTTATTTATTTTTAATTTCAGGTATTTAAAGACTACAATACATCATAAGAAAAATATAATCTTTAGAGAGAAAGAAGATATTGTAAAATTTTTAAGTGATGGTAAGACAATGTTGGAAAAATAACAAACTCAACAAGAATTTGAACTTGGCTCAAAAATATCTCCTTGTATTCCATTATCCATTACACCAAGCATACATTCTCCAGTAAGAGAAGAACAAAAAACATAAAACAAAACAGATTGTAAATGATGTAAAAATTAAGGACACTAGCTAAAGATACAAAACAACCTAACTACCACTTTTAAGTAAAAATTACAAAGAGAAATATGTAAGTTAGTTAAGAAAGTATATATTTTTCAATGGTAGTTTTTAGTGATTAAAGTAAAGCTACATTAAATGGACAAGTTGGCTAGGCTGTAAGTTGGGTCCTTAATGGAAACAGTCAACAAACACAACTTAGAAAACAACAGTGGAGGTGGAATAATGTTTGGGGCTAATATTATAGGCAGTAAATTTATAAATACCTTCAAAATTCTTAATAGTTTAAGATAAATAAAATGATTAATTGTAATTTATTGGGAAAGATGTTTATTGTGGTACAGATCATAACCAAGAAACTTTAAGCTAAATGCAATGCTTCTTCCCATTCTGCAAATTCTTTCTCTTTGTGTGCCATATCCTTTGGGGGCATAGGAGATCATGGCTCTCCACTACTTCCTGTCTTTTCTAATTTGTTCTAATTCTTTCTTCTCATGCTCTGTCCATAGTCTCAATATTTGTCAAGAGAACAACATTTCTGTTGCTTGAAGCATTTTCTTTATGAAGAAATTGTCCAGCATTTATTTCTAAGAGGGAGTTCAGCACTCTTTTCTTTGTTTCTAAGGGCATTTCTAATGACATTAGACTTTAGTTGACCAGAATTGGTTTGAGGAGCATTCTGAAAACTTTTGATGAATTTTTTTAGGGGTGGGGATAATAATAGTTTTACCCATACAAGTCTTACTAATTAACTCATAGATGGGGGGGGTGGATTTATACTTTTTTCAAGAGTATTTGCACATAAGTGAATATAATGAACCCAACTGGAATTGGGACTCGACACTCCAATTAACAACTCTGAGCCATTATTCATTACACCACCCTCACACCCAAGCTTACAGCACCTGGTATTTCCAAGTAGTCACCCATCTAGGTACTGACCAGGCTCAATGTGATCATATGGAAACCAATGTTTCAACATGATGTGGCCATAAGCCCAGTTAATGTGGGTATTAAACTAAAACAACAAAGGACATCTGTTCTAGTAATACTTGATATTTAAGAAAATAGTAAATTTATTCAATTCTTCAAATTACATAATGAGAAAATATTAGTTATTTGTAAAATATAATGTAAAATGATTATAAAATTTTATTTAATTGGTATATTCCTTGTTTTAGGGGATGGTAAAAAAAATTCTCAACCCCACTACTTAAAAAATAAATCTGGTCATTTGATCAGATTTTAGGAAGTGAGTTGCATCAATAAAATTTTCAACATTCTCTGCCCAACTCTATAAGTTTTTTTCCTCTGATGATCTGAAAATTACAAATCAAAAATCAAAATGTAAATTCCTAACATCCATGAGATATGCATTAAAAACTACATCATGAAATATTGAAAATCTGGGAAATCCTGTATAAAAAAATGAATTCAGATGAGTTTTCTATTTATTGAACCATAAGAATTTGAAATGCTTTTCTGAACTATGTGTTAAATAGATAGTAAAGATTATATTATTATCATCATATACAACAAAACTAAGAGTAAACATTTTTCCAAATTTTTCCTCAATATAAAAAAGATTGTCAGTGCTGTAAAATTTTAAATGTGGTATACAAGGTACTATCATAAATTTAGGGAAATGTGAAACAGAATATGTAAACTGAATGCAGTACAGATTTTTGTCACTAGCCTTTGTGGACAATAATATTTGTGAGCCAGTGTGCAAACAGCAAATAAGCTGAGAGATTACAATTGCTTTTTTAAAATAGTGTTTTAGCGGTTCATCAATTTTCATCACCACCTAAAATAACAGATTTTAACAGCAAAGAGAATCAAGTCTTGCATTTTAATTGTCAGAATTGTGACAACGCAATTTTTGATCCAGAGCAAAACCTTTTTGTGACACAAATGTCTCAAAAACAAACAAATTCTTGTTAACAACATGCATATTTGGGATGATTATAGACATTGTCAACATTGTCAAAGTTTGCAAGAAATTCTGTGTGGATTGAATGCAAACTATTTGTGAGATCATAAGTTTGTCATGAGATACATTCAAAATTTATGCCAAGACTGCTGAACAACAAACAAAAGCAATATCATGCTGTTGCCTGCAGAAACCTCAATGATGACTCAAAGATCTTGTAATGATAAGCAGGGGGTCTATTATTTGACTGTGAAATAAAATAGCAGTCATGGCAATGGAAGTCATCAAAATCATCATGGCTAAAAAGATGCAAGTTTGCACTAACATCAAATCAATGTATTTTGTTTTTTTTCTCTAACATCTATGATATTGTTCACAAAGAATTCATTTCATCTGGTCAAACTGTAAATGAAAAGTTTTACTGTGGGGTTTTGAAAAAGTAACTGGAAAGCATTTAATATGATTTTCCACACAAGTGAAAGAATGATTGGATTCTCACCATAATTAATGTACCTGCTCATACATCAAGTGTTGTTCCATTGTTATAGGCATTCAAAAACATGACAATTATTTCCCATTCACTTTGTTTATTTGATCTCACTCTCTAAAAGTTACACACACAATTTCTAAAGAGGCATTGTCTTGAGGGCATCCAAGCAGAATCCCAAATGGTATGCAATACAGTCAAACTTAAGGAGTTCCAACAAGGCATGGAATCTTGCAAAAACTTTTGAGATCAAAATCTTCTTTGTTTAGGCCAATAATTTTTTCATGGTTAAAATATTATTTGTAATGGTAAATATGGCAATCATCTGATCAAACTATTCAAATAATTAAATAAAAACTTAATTTCACAAAAATCTCAAATGATTTAAAATTCAAGAATAATAAATTCAATTGAAGAATTTATTATGAAACATTGCCTTGATATATTTGTCAGTTATCGTGCAAAGAAAAAACCATGCACAAAAAACAGTAGCCAGAGCAATAAAAATTGATACAATACTGCATAATACAAGATGGCATTAGCTAGTTCTAGTGGCAAGCTTGGCTTAAGGTTAAGACTTTTCTTTGTGGAAAAGGTTTAGGTAGAGGTATAAATACATGCATAACTTTATATAATGAAAATCTACAAGTACAACTATAAGTACTATATGATAAAAAGGTTTTAAGATCAAATTTGTTAAAATGTCTCCTTGTATGTAACAGCACCTACCTTGGCTGTCCTGAGCCACTTTGAGTCATAGAACTATCACTACTGTCTGTACAGCTGGTGTTCATGAGTCCCCCACTGCTTGAGCCAGCACCACTACTCTCTGCCACTGATGTACAATTGACAGTACTGCTACCAGCAAAATACATACTTGGATGACGCTTCTCTTGCTGTCTTCAATCCACAGCAGAAAGGAAGCAACAAGAGAAAGAGTAAAGGATTTTGGTAATATAAAATACAGAGAAAATACAAAAAAGTGGAAGCCTTTTAAACTTCATAGTAACATTGCATTAAAAAAAAATGGTCATTATATATATTAACAAAGTGTTTTCTTCAATTTCTGGAGTAGTTGTTTAAAGTTTTAAAATGAAACAAAGAACAGATTTAAGAGTCAAAATGATCAAAGCATATATAAAATTTTGTGTGTTTTAGCCCAGAAAAAATTGGTGTAAATCAATATCTATTAAGAGGTTTTAATGGTCCAAATTGAATTACTCAAACTGTTAGGAAATTAACAATTATTAATAGATAGAAAAATATCCTTTTGGATATGATTTTTCCATATTGTAAAAAAAAAAAATAAAAATAAAAAAAAATAAACTGAAATATTTATTGCAATGTACAATACCTCTTTACAAAGTAACTCCTTTAATGATATTACAATGAATATAATCTTTATAACCCAAAGGCTGCTATACTTCTACTTAAAATATTTATATCATTTTCAATTTAGTGTTTTTTTCTTACAAAATAATATACTTCAGATTACTGGGTAATAATAGCAATTCCCACAAGCAAATAACTCAGTTTAAAAAAGAAATGTAAATGGCAGCATCTTGTTCTACATATATTATTGAAATCAGTCATTTGTTTAATTCTGCTTTGATTTAAAATCGAGTAATAGGGCCTAAAAATAAAACCCTGATTTTCTTTCTAATTTTATGGGTTTTCTTATAAATGATAATGACAAAAGTATAATTCAAAGATACTTCCTTCATTTAAGAAAAAAAATATATAGTGTAACCAAATCAGATTAAAAATATCATAAAAATAAAATTAACAAAGCTTCTGTACATTTTTAACATAGTTTGAAATTAGATAAAAATTTTTTTTTCAATTCTGAGCAAAACATAAGCTTTCTATAATTTTAAATATATCAAAGCTGTTCTACATTGTGACATATTTTAATTTAAGAAAAATAAACTACTAGGTTATATCAGTGGCGTAGCTAGAGTAAATGTCACCTGGGGCGGTCCGCTCAAATGTCACCCCAATAACCCTGATTCACCCTATGCTGAATGGTTAGCTGTAGCTAAATTTTCATACATGCTCTACCTCTACTTTACTGACCAGTACGTTACTGTTTACATGTATGATCCAAGACAAAATCCAATACCACAAAATAATCAGTTCAAATCAAAAGATTTTTAAAATGCAACTGTTCACTTTCAGAACAACTAAATACAAAACACGGCAATACACAAAAGAATGACATTCGATACTATGGTCTTAGAATGAATGGTTTCTTGTTTTCACTGTGGCAAACTGGTCAATGACATTGTCAAAATCTGTTTGTCTTATAAGCTCGTTTTCAATGGACAGCACAGCCAGATCCGACAGTCTCGACTGGCTCATGGTTGACGTAATTTTCTGTTGCTAATTTTCCGGTGTCCAGTTTTCTGTTGCATCATTTTCTGGGTACCATTTAATTATCAATGATGTTTGAAAGTATTTTTCTTGACAAAAAATGTTCTATTTAATTTTTAAGCATTTTTCGAACATTGTAAATCAACTGCATTCTTTTTAAAGGTTACCTAGAGAATTTATGCAAAGTTTATTTTTGTTTTTCTTTATACAAGTAAAATAAATTTACATCGTATTTTGATGATATTATGATTTTAGTTTTAGTGATAATTTAAAAACAATAAATATTTATCATTAAGTTAAAAATTTAAAAGAATCCTTTTTGGAATCAGAAAATAGGCACAAATTTTTCCGATTCCAATACTGTTTCCGATACCCCAAAAAGTTAAAAGTATATCGCTCACTCAATGGAAAATTGTATCTCAGCAAATTGATACACAGGCAAGACTGAAATTGTTGCACTTTTGGCTTCGTATTTTGCTTTGTTGTGATTAATGATGCAGTTAAAATACCATATCATCCGATAAAATGTTACAACAATGTCTCTTGTTAGTAACCAAGATTGTAGCAACTGAAACACATGAAAGCTGAAAACACTGCTATTTTTCCTACTCACAAATTTCCTGACAATTTATTAAAAAATTTCTGACGTGGGGACAAAACTGGGGGGTCATATGCCCACCTGCGAAACCCTGTGTCTCCACCACTGTTTTCAGACTATTTTTGGCACCTTAGCCTGATTGAAAAATTTTGTTGGGGGTGACATTGTGTCACCCCTCCTGAGCTGGCACCCGGGGCAGTTCGTCCATCCCCCCCCTGCCCCCCGCTATGCCACTGGGTTATATGAAGAAAAATAGTGGGAAATATCAGAAAAGCAAGATATGTGTGTGATGGTCAGTGAAAATCAACAAAATCAAAACAATTAATCTCTTTTAAGTTTTTATGTTCCCAGTAAGAGCCCTCAATAAAATATTGTAAGAATATTTTACAACTTTCTTCAAAGAACACAGGTTCTGGTTTCATCAAACTGACCTGTGCGCACCATACAAACATCATTTGACTGCAACATGAAATTGCTGGTTTCATTTAAAAATGACATTTTTAAATATTATTTTAAAATGTTACAATCTTGGTTGATTACTCAGTAAAAATTTATTTTCAATCATTTTGGCAAATAGGATTTTTATCTGGTAATTACTGTATTTTTTTAAAGCTAGATACTTGAAAAATGCTAAATGTTGCAAGAAATATTTCATATAATAAAGAAGATCTACACAATGACAGAATGCAGATGAGAAACTGAAATGAACTGAAACTATCATTTATGAAAAGATGTAGATATCTGCTCATATCAATTGACTCTAACAAAAAATAATAAAAGATTGTGGCATTTCACTTATCTCTAAGATTCTTTTGTCTTTTCTTGCTCTGTCATTCACTCACGGAATTATGGGTAAGTTTCCAATTCTTGATTAAATTCTTGCTAATATGATTTTTGTGTGATACTAACTTACTTTGAGAATTTACTCTAATCCAAAAGATTAAGAAGAAAAAAATGAAGAGCTGATGCTTAAATTGACTTTATTTTGGTCTAAAATATTCTGTTATTTTTTTTGCTGGTTAAAGATTCTTAGTGTTTTTGCAATTTTTATGGCTTCATTTACAAAACCATTCCAACCTCAACACATTGGAGTCAGTTGTACAGCACAGTAAAGTAAAAATAAATAAATGACAGATCATATATGTGTAAGTTTGGTGCAGTCATTGAAAATCAGCATTGAGACTAGAGGTTAAACAAGGGTTAAGCAAAATTGTGTAAAGAGAAAAATTATGAAAAATAGTGGAACACTGAAGAAAAAGTAAAATTGTATAGAAAAGTAAAGAGGAAAATTTAGAATTAAGTAACTACTTAAGGCTATCCTTAATTCTTCTTTTTTTATGTATCAGTCAGTGGAAATTGATAAATTATATTTGAGCTTACAGTTTCTGCAGCTTTTGGAGATATTTGAATATATTTTTAATTCAAGTAGTTGAATTAATGGATGTCCTGTTAGTTTTCATAAAATATCTATTGACTTTTTGATCTTGCTAGACTGACTTAACTTCATCTGCATGCTTTAAAATTATTATTCTTATTTTTCTTCACCATAACACTTTTTGTGTTATGTTGAAGAAAATTAAGGAAAAGCCCCAATGGTATCATTCTTTGTTACATCAAGAAAACATTGCTCTTAAAGTTTTGCGATCTCTTTGTATGCCATTAGCAACATGTTTCAAATAACCATAAAGCAATACTCACATTCATATTTCTATCATCATAAATTTTAGTTGATAATTAAAAAAATATTACTGGAATTTAAAACAGAAAAAAGTATCTAGAAACATAAAAAAAACTTATAAGCCAATGAAAATGAAAAATATGCTTTCATTTCAGGATAATTTCTGACTCACTTTGAGATTTACTATTACCATGAATGTTGTTTCATTTCTCCTCTACTTTTGTTTTCTTGAAGTGGTTTTATGTTTTGATTTCATAACTTTCTTTATCTTCATCTACAAATTCAAAAATTGCTAATTTATGTTTTCTCTTAGGAATTGAACAAATATTTATTCCATTATGCAGAAATGTCTTTTGTCTAGATTTGTGTTAGCCACACTATTGAAATAATATCTTTAGTATTATATCTTATATTAGTTACTTCCATGATTTGGGTTTCCATTTCTTTGAAAAATATGCTCATCAATTAGAAATAGCAACTAATGAGGCTTAAGATGATGTTGTAAAGTAGCTTTTCGTAAGTATCCTCAAGGTAGCAGTAATGAATCATCATCATATAGTTTTAAATACTGAAGTTGTTTTAATAAGTCATATGTTGTAAATGGGGAAAAAAGGAAAACGTTATTACTAAACTTTCAATTTAAGCAATTTAGAATATGCAAATTATGGATGTTGAGAAGACAGTTTTATAGTGATTTTTTTATTATTCAACTGCCTTCAATGAAACATTTAAAAACTTATTTGGTAGTATGAATGCAGATAAAAAATATTTCCAATTTTTAAATTGAAGGTATTTCTAATCTTTATTTTATATTATGTGCTTACAACATAATTTATATATAAAAATATCATTTAAGAGATGTGGTGGTGAATGATGAGACTGAAGAAAATACTTTTGGGCAATTCAGGTTTTATTCAACTCATAAATACACACGAGGTATAAACAAATGATGGCGATTTTAAAACTCTTCTATGAAAGGAGAATAATCCCTTAATACAGGCAGAAAACTATAATAATAATATTATTTTACCACAATCACCACTGCATTGGAAAAGAAATTGGGTGTACATGCATTGCAATAAAAAATATAAATAAATAAAATTAAGTCCTTAAATGTCTCAATTAGCAGCATTTGTGGGCTGTTTATATGTCCTTTCATAGAATCGTTCATAGTTTGTTGGATGGACAGTTCACAATCATGTTTTTAGGGGAATGATTTCCTGGCTGGTTTGATATTGGTAACTCCATGGG